AATACGCTACTACATAAATGACAAAATACAAGTCATGCTCGTGGCCGTCGATCTCCGGCGTCGACAATGCTGACGATGTCCTCATCAATTTTCTTGCCTCCTTTTCTGCTTCTCATTTTATCCTTTCTTTCAAGGGATAGTTTTTTTATTCTCTCTGCTTATGGCAGCAGATATGTCATGCTTCCAAGGATTGTTCTTTTTCCCTGAAGCAGCTTCTCTGTTGCTTCACAATTTCTGCATATATAATATCTGTCCTCCAGGGCATGAGGTCAGTAATTTAACTTTTTATCTTTCCAATTTCTTTGGACTTGTACATGATTTTGTTTGTGGTTTTTGTCAAGAGTTTTTGCAGTTAGCAGCAACTCCAATTTCTTCAGATATTCCTGTGCCTTCTGTTGATGATTTGGTTGATCAGGTTGCTGAGATTCTCGACTTCTTTGGGTAACTTTCAGATCGCTGCATCCATGAATTTCTTGAATATTCATAGTACTTTCTGTGTATCCAATTATCAAATGCAAAGTCAATTGCCGAGAACTATTATAACCATTAGCTACTTCTTTTTCCCAGGTTAGATTCGGTCATGTGTATGGGGGTCACGGCAGGTGCTTACATTCTTACCGTTTTTGCTGTAAGTTTTACACACGATGTTTGTAGTCTTCCTGCTTGGTATTCACCACAAATTGTCCTTAGAATATTTTTGGCACCTCATATAATGATCTCAGACGAAGTTCAGTGATCGTGTGCTTGGTTTGATACTGGTATCTCCTCTCTGTAGAGCAGCTTCTTGGACAGAGTGGCTGTATGATAAGGTTTTTCTTCAGGCATTTTCTTTTTCTACTCCTACTTAGATGCAATTCTGAAAGGTTAGAGGAACCCTCAGGTGCTGTCAAATTTGCTATATTTCTGTAGAGTCTGTGGCTTGTTCAAGGATTACTTACTCCAGAGGTATTTCAGTAAGGTATTTTACGAGAATTTAATTTTCCCTTCTAGGTTCATGAAACCATTTTTTAGTTTTCATCTACTCCCCTTCTGGCTGGCTCTTACAGAAATTTCTAGAAAACGCACAGATCCCAGAATCTGATATCGTGCAGGCGTGTATCTGTGTTAGTATCCCCAACTACTACTCGGCTTGTTTTCGGTTTATTGCTTCCTACCATGTTCTAGACTAAGCTTTCTTCTATGTTACATTTGCAGTTACTAAAAGAGAAGCGAAGTACAAATGTATTGAGGTTTTTCCGGTCCATTAATGGGTATGTTTTCATGGTTTCTCTTTGCGTCACCATGCACCTTTAGATGAACTCTTAACAGCTTCTGCTTCTATTGGGCAGGCGATATGATATCACTGCAAAGTTGAACCAGCTAAGGTGCAGAACGTTAATATTTGTTGGAGAGAATTCTCCTTACCATTCTGAATCACTTCACATGATCTCAAAGTTAGATCACAGATGCAGTGCACTTGTCGAGGTATTTTTGTGTGACTTTTTTAATATGATTTTATTTCTATACCACTGAGATTTTAAATATTAATTCTATATCATTTTACATTATTAACTCTTACAAATATCTCCCTCTACATTAAGGTTAATCATAAGAGAATACTCCATAATTATTGAGGAAAAACTTTAACATCACCTTAATTATTTCTACAACATCCCTCTCTAAAACTTGGTGATTGCTAAAATCCTTAAAGGTTAAATGTAACCCACAAGTACAATCATGCGGGTCAGGGTGGTTAACTTATGCTTCCAGGTCAAAAATTTGCCCAAGTTATATAATTGACTAAGGCTTCGTTTGGGACGATTTTTTTGTTGCTTCTTAAAACAGTTTTCTAGTATAAAAATTTTAATTTTTTAACTAAAATTTCTGTAAGGATCAACAAAAAAAGCCGTCCCAAACGAAGCCTAAATTGAAATGATTAAATCAGGAGATAATGTCATCTCAGATTTAACTATGATAATGAGAGTTGATCAAGTGATAGTGATAATAATGTGTGGATTAGGTTTACATGACTTGGTATGCTAGGAAGAAGATATGTCTAGGTGGAAAAAATAGAGAAAAGGTTTCGTTTTCTATAAGAGGGCTATAAGAAATAGTCCGATATTTAGGTAAAACATTGCTTATAGCATCCAAAAATAAAAAATGCAGGTTCAAGCTTGCGGGTCGCTAGTGACGGAGGAGCAACCCCATGCTATGCTGATACCATTAGAATTTTTCTTCATGGGTTATGGCCTATACAGGCCATGTCAGTTGGGTGGCAGCCCACGCAGCCCACTTAGTCCCTTGTGCATCTCAGCTGAGCTTCTGTCGCCTGAGAGCATGGGCTTGAAGCTAAAGCCGATCAAGACCAGGATCTCCCTTAAGTCTGACCAGGGTGGTGGGTTAGTTGCCTAGGGGGAAGGTTTTGCTATTCTTTTGGTAATCTAATGTTGGACGGTTGAGATTTGGATACGTTGGCCCTTTTGATGGCTGGAAATCATTTTTTGGGTGTAGATAACAGGGGAGAAAATGTGGCGGGCATTGTTTGGAGTATATGATATTTCATTCATTTGCAATCATAATGTGTTCATTCCTGTAACTACGATGGAATAAGATCGGGAAATTTTGTTTGTTCATCATTATTTCCTAAAGTCCTATTATCGTTAGAACTCTCTATGGTCTTCATTATTATTGGATATGCTGTGCGAATGGTGAGGTTCTAAATTCATCTTAAACTGATCATAGATTTGCATTTTTTATTCATTATTGTTGAGATCATGTAAGCTTTAATCTGTTCAGGCATGAATGGAAGATTGAATTGATGTTTATTTTATTCGATTTAATTGAATAGGAGATCAAATGATAACTAGCTAAACAAGCTAATTAATAATTGACTCAAACAAACTAAACAAGCTAATTAATAATTGTCTCAAAAGAAAATGGCTCTCTTACGATGAATTATTTTATGCGGACGTCGAATGTTATCCAGAGCCCAATGAAAATGTTTCATGTCAACCCCTACTCGGTACTACGGCTCGATACTGCTCAGTATTGGATGATGTGATTGCACCTGATTCGCCTCTGAACAATAAGCTGTGTCCAGTGTCCGCACAAAATAATCTCTCCAAACTTGCAAGTGTCTTCTGGTCCACAAAACACAAATATAGTTAGTACAACTGATTATGATATTGTAAGCATATTCGAGATCATGTGAGATAAGTGTTTGTTAGGCATGAGATAAGTGTTTGTAAGGCAATGCCTAGAGATGTGTGTTTATGTATTATATGCAAAATATTGCAGATGTACCAATATCAATATTATCATACAGGTCATATAAGAATCATGGTCGCTAACTCTCCTGCAGAGTCATGTGGTATTCAATAAAAAGAGTTTCATCATATGACATGCTTACAAACATTTACATATTTATATTAAAGTATGAAATTACATTAAAAAATGCAAAAGATGAAATAACTTGTGTTCTATATTAAGAAATGCTTCCTGTGTTAGAAACTTGAGCAAGAACCTCACACAATGCCTATCAACCGAATCTTATATATATATATTAAGGTTCTCAAACCTCCTAGGCTCATTATGAACAGCCAGGCTTGATAGGTCTAATTATCTAAGCATAAGTAACTATATACACAGACGGGCTTCACATAATAATTTGGAACGCTTCTAAACCTTTCAAACATCTCCATATACATTTCACCTCAACATACAGTTATCCAATTAAGGCTATAGACCATAACAGTCGTTATTAAATACAATTCGAATGAACTGCAGTCTTTTATCCCTTTTGTTGAAACCTATGATGCACAGATGCAAACACGATGACACGGATACGATATTACATGGACACGGGTTGAACACAGTATAATAACTTTTATATTTTGAAAATAGTTTAAAAAAATTGAATAAATATAATATTAAAAATAATTTAGAAATAATAAGACATTTAACTAGAATTTGTGTTTAGGTGTCGTGTATCATGCATCGAGAAAGAAGGCAACAATTTTATAGAGAGTCAGGAATCGATGTTATGCAGTAAGTATCGAGTGTCAATGTTAAGAGGACGTCTGTCATCAATGTTGAGAGGGCGTTAGTCATCGATGTTAAGAAGACGTCTGGATAAAGATGAGTTGTCAATTTGTGGGTGTAGAAATTGCTAGCGTTGAGCATCAATACCAAGACAGTGTCAAACTTTGATATTGAGACGGTTTTGGAATGTCGATGTTGTAAGAATGTCAAACGTTGTTATGTTGAGATGACATTGAGCATTGTTGTGAAACCAAAATCACGACTCACCAAAGAGAAATGAAAATGAGAATATTCGATGAATGAGATATTGAGTGCGGTCGATTGATTAGGTGTTATTGATAATAAATAAAAAATTAATTTTTATATTTTAAATAAATAAAAATTTTAAATATAAGAAATTATATTTTAAAAAAAAAAGATTCATGAAATATTTATGACACACGTGTGTGTCCAATTTGTATTTAATATATTTTTTAATCGGACACGTTATTGACGAGTCCAACATATGTTGAAGGAGTGTCAGACGCATGTCGTGCCGGATATGGTATGCTTTTTTGAGAAGAAGTATTTGTGCGTCATAGGTTAAAACTCATATCTCTTGAGAGGTGCGTTGGAAATAATCTTGATACGTCCAAGACTGCAATTTCAGGTCTCTAAGGACTTTTTCACTCCTTTATTTAAGTACAAATAAGCATTATTTTCTCGAACATATTGCTTAGTTTATATATCTCTATTTAATCCTCAAAAACAATACTCTTTATAACCTTTTTTTAATAAATATGAAGACAAATCAGTTGTCAACCCAAAAATGAAGCAAATTTTTAGTGTTGAAACTCATCAGCCTTCCTTTTGCTAGTGCTTCAGCACCCCCTTGTCTCATTTTCATGTGTCTGATCTCAGCTTCTTCATGAAGGAGCACAACATTGAGTTTTCTTTGTATTATACATCTTCAAAGACTTTGTTAGGTCATTAGCTTCTTTTATGAATTTAAAGAGGGGTGCTTAAAATTGCGTGTAATTGTCATTTAGAACATCTATATTTATAAAATATGAAATATGTGTGAGGTTTTGGGGGATAACGATGTGCAAATCTGGATGACAGAGATCCGAGCAATTTCTGATGTTTGTAACTAAAACCAATACCAACTCCATGAAGCTCTTGCAATTAGCATTTTCCTTGTAACCACCTAGACATCAAAATTTTATTTGATCCCTTCTGTCATCCAAATCCACCTTCCCGACCTTCACCAATGGACCCATAATCAATATCTCCACTCTCTTCACTCATAAAGTTTTAGCCAAAAATCTTGTCTTATGTTGAATCTTAGCTTTTGATTGTTGCTTCGGAATCACTACCCCTTGCCTCTTATGCCAACTATTTCTATCCTTGGTGCTCGATTTGTTCCTAATTGGATCTTCTTAGCTCCTCATATTGCTTGGCTATTCCTCTTAATGCTTTGCAAGGCTATGACCAAATTTGTATAAAATAGTCCAGTTGGGACTCCTATTGACATCATTTGTCATCACGCTTCAATACTAGCACAAAATCTTACATTATTGTCATCTCGCATAAATCTAGATCAACAACATAAACTAATAACTTTTCTAGCACCATGCCAACCTACCATGATCAGAGTTTAGTACTTCTTGTTAACATATTAACATTTAACCATCACAGTATTTCTTGAGAAGCATGTTCATGTAATGTTTGATAGTTATTTTGAACCCTTATATCCTTGTAGACTGACTCTCCCATTATCAATTTGATCCATTACTAATAGTCCAATAACTATTCTTTCTCCTTTAGTTCAACATTTCCAAGCAAAGCACATTAGCTCTTGAGTTGATGTCCTTCTAGACCAATTGTTGATGTATCCATGAAGTTATCTCATTGACTTTGGCCATGAAGCCTCTAGCAATTGATCACTCATGCATTATTTATCTGGTGGTCTTAGTGCCAGTTAACTCACAAATGATGGGTCTTGTCAATAATTTCCTCCACTAGCAACTCCTCTCAACCTCATAACATCTCATGTTTGTTGTAAATTCCTACCTATTCTATACTTCAAGCATGTTCTCCGCTTATCTCTCATACAAACACATTATCAGTATCACATTAATGCTAAGTTTACATTTCTAACCCACTTTTCTTAAGCTAATAACAATCCTTATTAGCACCCAGAATATTTGTAGATGACTCCCATCCAACTAAGCTAACAACCTATCTACCACCACGCCAACCTATCATGATTGAGTTTAGAATTTCTTCTCAACATATTAGTATTTCAACCAACATCATTTCTCAGGAAACCTACCCAAGTATTGTTTGATATTATTTAGAACTCTTATATCCTTATATGCTGGCTCTTCCATGATCAATTAGATCCATTACTACTACCCTAATACCATTCTTTGTCCTTTTGTTCGGTGCACATTAGCTCTTGAGTTGATGTTCCCCTATGGATCAATTCTTGGTGTCTCCATAAAAGGTATCACATTGGCTTTGGCCTTCGGCACTCTAGCAATCGATCACTTATTATTTTTCATGTTGCTTTAATGCCCTTCAGCTTCTCAAATGATGGGCCGCATTGATAACATCCTCCACTAGAAAATACTCTCACCCTCTTGATATCTCAAGGTCGGCTTATCATTCATATTAATATACACTTCCAAAATGTTTGCCTCTCATCTCTCATGCAAACTTATTATCAATGTCACATTCATTATTAGTTTTATGATTATAACCCACTTTCTTTATGTCGATAATACTAATGAGCATCTTGAATCTTTGTGAACTGCTCCCATCCAACTATCAACATCAATAAATTCATCCAATAGTAAGTCTCTAACCCTCACAACATATTGTGGTTGGTGTATCATTCCTACAAATTCTACACTTACAAACTTTTTTTCCTCTCATCTCTAATGCAATCTCATTATTGATGTCACATTCTTGCTAGTTTTCATTTCTAACGTAATTTCTTTAGGTCGATAATATTTCTGATTAGCCCACATATTACTCTAATCCAACTATCAACATCTGTCATTTACTTGAATTAATAGTTCAATCATAGTATGTTTTGCACGATACAAATTATGAGGTAACTCATTTCTCTATACATAACCGCCCACTACTAATGGATGAGAGGGAGTTCACATCTCCTTTGATTAGAAGCTTGTATTCTTCTTATTAAGGCCCTTCTTCTAAGATTATATAGTTAATTTAAAAAAAAAAAAAAGGTAAGGACATCTCTTATCTTTCTTCCTTTTTCTCTCACCCTCCAAAGTCCAACCAATAATATGAGATGGGATTTCTCCATTCCCATATCATATATAAGTTTTCACCCACCTACACACAAAATAATCGCAATGCACACCAAGATAAGGGGTGTATTGGGCATGCAATTTTTTACATAGTTTTTTCCGTGAATTTTTATCAATTCAAAACCCACGTAATAAGTATAAATTAAAACTAAATAGTATAATAAAAACTAAGGATGTGAAAGCTATTACAATATAATTATGATAACTAAAATAAGCACTTGACTAGGTTAATTTTGATTACAAAATCAAGTTAGTAAGAGAATATTTAATCATTTGAGCACATTATAAGTGTTACTCTACTAAAATAACTATATTGATTAAATTCATAATATATCAATGCCATTAACTCAATTCTAAATATAATGGTATGGTGAGTAACAGAATAGTTGTTA